CGTGTGTAGCGATGAAGAAAAACTATATTGAACGTAAAGCGAGCAGAGAGAAAAAAGAATGTCTCGTAATACGAGATGTAATCAACTGCGTCGCGAAGTGAGATTTGTGTTACAGTTGATTATTTTCATCATCATGCTTGACTTTACTGAAAAAATAAAACTAGAGGAAAAAATGGAAAAAAAACGAAGAGAAAAAATTACACCTGTATGTTGCACTGACATATATTTCTTAAAATTCTAAACTACAGACATTAAAATTGTACGTGACTTAATCAAAGTAAAATTACTCTCACCATATTATGCAATAATCGCTTAATTGGCCATAAAAGTTACAATACAATTAATAACGATTAATGTTCTCAGATAGACGTTAGCAATATTGGCAAAAAAAAAGAGTAATAAATTTGATCACACTTGTTGTCAAAGGTGTCAACATTGCTGACATTTGACTATCTGAATTGTAGCAAATAATATTGCACCGTAGAATAGAAATATATTTTACATCAATACCTTTGATATATTTTTCATTGTTGTATTTTCAATATTACGGCAGAATGAGCAAAAGCTCGTTAATTACATTTTAATTACTTTACAATTTAAAAGCACTTTAAATACATCACAAAATATTAACAACTGCATTTCAAGATAATCATATGCGAATAGGTTTTAAATATTTTCTGAAAAGCTAAAATTTTTAAACAAATGGACGTACAAAAGCTAGAAAAGCTTGGGGGGGGGGGGAAACAATTCAGCGAAAAACGGTAGAATATGAGAAAACACATTTATACGACACGGAGATATTAAATGATACTTTGTTCATCAAAGTGTCATAATATTTCCGATTTCTTCTTAAGTTCTCGTGTGTATGTGCGCTTCGGGGAAGAACTGTATCAATGGAACTTGCCTAGACGTGTAAAAATACAGTCGTGAGACACGGAAAGGAAATAAAATTGTCGTCGAGGTCGATGACGAAGAATATCACTGCGACTCGTTATAGATTGCCTTAAGAAAACTGGCGCATTAAGGTACTCTCTCGAGTTTATTGCGAAATTGGTCAGCTGTCACGTAACTCTGCGCGTATAAAAATCATAAATGCAATGCGGTAATAAACATAGCTTTGTTATCCAATGTATACAGGCGATGCTGCACTATATAGCTTCATGATTCTGCAAATCCGTCATCTTTGTTTAGCAACATATACGATATTTCGATACACCTGCTCGTATAAAGATATTTACGAGTTTCATGACGAACGCTCGATTGCACGCTATAGCGTGGGAAGATGCACTTAAAGGGGAAGTAGAGTTAAGAATTCCGAGAGAAAAGCTTACTTTGTCAGTCTTTCGATATTAATCTGAGAACAATTAAAATGTGACATTAGACGACATTAAATTTATAAATTAGCAACAGTGCAAATTAAAAAAAAAAAAGTCTAATGCGATGCAAATATTCAGAAATATATTTCGATTTCCATTAACCAACGAAGATTTATTTGATCCACTTTTCGACTACTTTTAAAACTGCAAGAAAAAATATCTCTTGTTTAAGACACTTTTATTTTAGTCATCTATAAGTTACTAATTTAAAAACATTTTTAAGTATCTTTAAATAATCTCGCGTCGTCAACCTCTTGTTCAGTTTTTATTAATTCATACATTAACCAATTGATTGAATATTAAAAGAGCCTTATCTATTTATCAAAAAATAATATATAATTACCATTACAAGTAATTATATAATAATATAAATAATATAAAAAACTACGTTCTTGCTTTATAATTTAATAAAATAAAAAAAATAAAAAAATTCAAACAAATCTTGAAAATATTATATATAATTCCAAAATTATTATATTTTAAAATGTATTTTCTTAAATATATATTAAATTACACATCCGCGCGCGCGCGATATAAATTTAGCAATTTGTTACATAATAAGACGTTCAACAGGCAATAAAACATGATTGCGATTTTTGTTAGATACCAATATGATGCTGTGAAATTGCCGACTTGTCTACGTCGACACGGGTTAACCGCGATAAGAGAACGAAGAAATTTTACCAACAGATACCTCTCGTCGGGGAGTCGAGGTATATATATTCGCCAGTCTATTTCGAGAATCGACGAGTTTCCAGAAGGAAACCACTCAATTTATTTTTAATTCGACTGGAATACCTGCATCTGCTCGTATACCTCGTAAACCTGCAAACCTGGTTCATGCGTTCATCCGCGCGCTTAAAAGATTTACACCCGACGTTAAAAAGAACGGTGGTATAACTCCGGCGATATCCTCCGCCATATAATTACCAGAAAACGTCTATAAATCGTTTCATATACGGTTTATTTGCGTGCAATACGCCAATTCGCCATATGTGTAATCCGATGGTCTAGTACCAGCATCGAGAGCAATTAAATAACTTTGCTTATCAGCGGACGGTGAGAGAGTGGCGAGTAAAGTACGATATGTACGACGTGCATCGCGACGTGGACTGCGCATAACCGCGCGACGCGATAGCATTTAATCCATCAATTACTGCGACTGCAGCTGTATTTAAAATCCCCTTCCGGTGCTCTCACTCACACAGCTCCATTTCTCGGATTACTTTCGAGTAACGTCTCATCCGGCGGAAGTAGTCGTTCTACAAAAGAACTCTGGCTGAGGATTAAGCAGCGACTCGAATCTCGCTCGGCTTCTCTCTCCTCTTCTATCGTTCTATCTCCCTCTTTTTTTCTCCAAACGGAAAAAAACGAATTTTTTCAATCTTGGCGCAAATGTTCTCGATTTTTCCCCTCTCTCTCCCTCTCGGTCTTCGTATCTCGTTACTACACGCCCTTATCAACCGCTCGAGAAACGGGAAATTAGTCTCATCTTCCGAACAAACGAACGCAGGCACGAAAGTGCGTGTTCAAGTAGCGGCACGTGACGAAAGATTACAAATTGGAGGGCGACGTAGCAGGAAATTAAGGGCGGCATATTAGACCGTCCCTTCCTCTTCATGGAAGTAACACAAATGGAAACAACGGCCGCCGTGCGGTTGATCTTCGGCGCAAGTTCGTGTCGTATCGCATTGCAATAGAGCGCGTAGAACTTTAACCGCTGATAACTCGTAAGCGTGTTCGTGACAGTTGCGAGGTCCCATCTCGCGCTTCCTGGCTTTCCGTCGTCCAGGAACGTCGGTTCTTGCCGCAACGCGCGCCATCCGCGTGCTGCTCCCTGTTATTTATCGCCGCGGCTTGCGAACGTAATTTATCGTCCTGCGTTCGCGGGGAACGCTAGCCGGGCGACCGGCGGCGCGGCGGACAATAACTCCCGATCGATTCGCACTCGAAGGCTTCGGCCACGAAGCGAGGGAATTAAGAGCGAAACGCGGATATAAGAGGCGAGAATGACTTCGGAGGAAAGGGATGAGTTACGAGCACCCCACGTTCGCAATCCACCGACGCAGCTTTCCTGCTCTCAAACCCTGGGTGGAAACATCGTAAGTAACGAAATGACTTTCCAGCCGATCATTTATTTAGCCAAACGATCGTCCCGAGAGCACGGAGAACGAACGAGAGTGACTGTCCCGGTCCCTCTAGGGGAACAAGAATTCCCGAAGTCACGCGCTCTCGTCAGGAAAGAGGGCTCGAAAGAGGGGTCGGAGAGATAACGTGGGGCGAAAGTGAACGCGCCAGCGGTGACGATGATGCACCATTTAGCCGGAAAACTCTCTACGTCGAAGTCTCGTAACCAAGCACCGTCGCGAATCGTGAATTTATGATGCCAAATTGTCCTCGCGAGTCGACAAATTTCCACGTGAATCAGATGGTTACGTTGTCAACGCTCGCTCGTAAATTATCCAACGCGGTTTCGCCGGTACGCGAGACATCGTCGCCGGTTTAATAAGCGAAAAGCTTGGCGGAGCTTGGCAATTAGCGGAAGGTCGCGTAGCAGTATAATTTTCTATCTCAAACGACTGTATATTCTTTCCTGCGAAGAAACGTCATCTTACTGCGTTTTCGGCAAATGGATTTTCAACGACGTGAACGACGGATTTATTAAATGATATCGAAAAGCGCATTAATATGTGATTCGCTGTCTTTAAATTTTTAAATAAATTTTTAATAATAAATATTAATCTTCCAGTTAATATTAATATATGTATAAAGTCTAATCATACATTGCAATATCTTTGAAATGTTGAAAATAAATCATAAAGAAAATTTTTAGTAGCGGACAAAACATTAAATAATTTAAGTTTTTAACTTATAAAACGAAAAGATTTCAAATTATAAATAGAAAAGACTTTCTCTCCAGTATTTATAAAAATAATTGGTTAACTTTATAGAGAAGATAGGAATAAATCTTCTTAAGTCTAGCAGATACAAACACGACGCTTCGACCTCTTCTTCGTTATTCAATCGTTACTACGAGTCCTAAAGTAGATTTAGCGAGTTATAAGTTTTATAAAGGAGACGGAAGAGAGCGACAGAAACTCGCTTCCGCTGTTTGTTTTTTCAAAACGGCAAAAGTTAATTGAGCGCAGGATGCGGGGATTGCTGGACGAATCCGTGAGCTACTTCAGCGCGCCAGAGATCGATCGGCATAAAAATTGCTTATAAAATTACCCATGTATATATCTATATAGCTGCTAAGAAATACAAACAACCCACAACAATTTCGTACACAGCTTTCCGGTTGCTTCAATATTGAAAAATATTTCAGAGAGATATTTTTTCCAGAATAAATAATTTTTATATTAAAATCTTGTTTAAATCTCATTTTAATTATCAGACTTAATTAATAATTTCTTTGTTTTAACGTACATGTCCATTTTAAAATGGTTTATAATTTTACTTTGTTGTGAATATTATCCAAAATAATTTAACGATCAGATATTTCTCGAAATATAAAAGTACATGATCGGCGCGAAGCATAAATAAAGAAGAGACAGAAGATTATTCAAGTTGTAAATTTACGGCATCAAGATGACGCATCCATTCGCCACGCAGTCGCGCGCTGACGATCGAACAATACGTTCGCGCGCGCATAAAATTTTTCTTCCGGACGCGGTAAGATCACTCCCATTCGACCAATGCCAAAAGTGGAATAAGCTGTGTAAGGTTTGAATAATTCAACATGATAAAGCATATCGATTATCCCCGTCTTGGCCGACGCGGTCGAATTTCCGGAGCAACAAAATTTACGATTTGCGATATTTTCATAGGAGAAATCAACGTCCATGGAATCGATGCTTTTCTAATCGAGTATACCGCTGAGGATCAGCCATGGACATGCATGTACGAGTTATCTATCTGGTAGGTGAATGTGTCATGGGATTTGTCTCAGTTTATCATTAGTCTGATATCATCAGTGAGCGATCAATAATAATTTCTTGCGTCCTGCCATATTAATCCTGAGTACAAAATTAGCAGGATTTATGATAAATGCATGTATGGCTCTGAGATTAACTGGGTTAATTAATTTTAACGTTAAAGTTTAAGAAACACGTTAGAAAACAAAATATATAATTTTCATGCTTAAAATAATATATTATTTATTAATTATTCTACTACTTTGTTTTCAGGTTACAGATATTTTCAATAAGTGATGAAATGAATTTGTTCGACGCTTCGGCAAAAATAACGCGAGATAATAATGATTATTTTAATTATGTTTCACAAATTATACTGAAAATAATTCGAATGCATATTTTCGTGCACGCGCGTAACGGACGGAATATTTTTAACGTAATATTTTACATTGTTGGTCCCATAAATTGGTATTTTCTCTACACTGTTCGTGAAAGCAATAATTCTTTGAAATAATAAAGCAATAAATAACAACGCCTTTCTTTCCTTCCCACATTCGATACTTACTCGCACAATCAACTTTGTAACTAACTGACCGTTAAGCCGGTTAATTCTACAGCAATGAGAATATAAATTAATTCCCAGTGCACTCTGGAGAATCTCTCGATTTGTTGTTACACAGGAATCATCGGTAAGCGGCAGATAAGAATCTTGCCCCTTTGTAGTGCATATAATAAAGTGCAACGATAAAGCCGATAACATCCAGTTGTAGTATAATAATACTAGCGCTGTTTCTCCCAGTAGAAACAAAAGAGAATAACTATTCAGGAATCGTAATGAATCCAATGGGATTATCCGATATTTCATTCCCGTTCGATTCGAATCAACGACACAACGCTAGTTTTTATACTAGTTTGCACGAACAAGAGTTTAATCTAATATGTCAGACGTTACACCATTTCTATTCAAACGGTAAGATTATTTTTTTATTTATTGCGCATTCTAAATTTATAATTTCAGCAGGAAGCGACATTAATAAAATTTTTCGCTCAATAAAAATACGAGTTTTACGGGGAGATAGTTGTGTTTTCTATAGATAATTAAGATTTATATTTTCATGTGCGTGTAACGTTTCATGTAACGTGTTCGTGAACCATAAACCACACTTTCCTCTTATCCGTTTTATTACACACATAGAAACCGCAAAAAAGCAACGACGGTTTACCTTGCCTTTTTCTCGCGGCGTATAGGGGAAAGGAAGACCGAGAGAGCGCGCGCTTGCAATTTCGCTCTATGTCTATGTCGACGAACACAAAAGTGCGCGCGTCCCGATGGCGCTCGTTTTCCGATATTCTTCCGCCGGTTTGCCGTCGTCGCTTCGACATTGTTCAATGCCGAGATCGTATCGTGCCACGCGCTCTCCGTCGAAGACTAAACACTTTCTACGGTTTTGCTTGCGCGACGCGAGTCGCTCTATAAAGATTATCTTTATCGCAATCGGTGCTTTTATCGCCTAGAGTGCAGAAAAAAATACGAGCTCCGCATCGAATCCGCGTTATTTATTTCAAGTTTACGTCGCATCTCGACGTTACGCAGGCGTTGCAGATAAAGGCAGTTTTGCCTTTGCGGCGAAGAGGCTTTTCCGCACGTTGATTCGTTCGGCTTGAATAATTTTAAGAGCTGAATATCGAAGAGATGGAGGGGGAGAGATAAAATCTCGGTCGTTTTCTCGCGCAGCGGCGGCCGATACGTATCGACGGCCGCGTGTTATATTCGATATATACGAATATAAAACTGTATTCAGACCAGCCTGTATCTCTCTTGTCAAAACGATCAATATTTTATACGCCAAACATCAAAATTTCACATTCGTCGCTTGGATCCTTGTGATATACGGTCTAATAATAATGAAGCATATTTTTAATTAAAAATAATATAAAAATATCTCTCACTCTTATGAATGGCCGATATAGACCGACGGTATAAATTAGTTTGTAGACGAAAAGTCACGATATATACCGAGTGATACAATAACGATAATTTACCATCGTTTTTAATTAAAAATAAACTTTGTGAACACATAGAAGGGAGATTTTCCGGGCCACGCTGCTACTATTAGCGAAGACGCGTAAGTCGTATTATCCGACCGCGGACCTATTACTTGCGCGCGCATTCAACGGGTCTTAAGGACGAAGGAAACTTTGCCGGCCCTCCGTGTTCATTCGCAAGCTGGCAACGGACTTTATGTCCAGATTCGCTGGCGAGGGATTACGCGAGCCGAATTAAGCTCAGGTTAAGAAGCTTAGGTTCTTCACTCCTTCACCGCGCTTCTTTCTCTTTCTCTTCTCTCTCTCTCTCTCTCTCCCCTCTCCCTCTCTCTTTCTACATCGATTGAAAACGCATGTGATATTCAAAATATATCGCACGCTCGCTGTCTCTCGTTGCACAGCAATATCCACTCCGAAATCATTTCCCGTAAAAATTCTATCGCGACACTTTAACTGTACCACCGGCAAAGAATATCTCTCTGTGGAATGTATCGTGGTCCGGCCTCCGGCTCAAAGCAACCACGCCGACGTTCTGTGTTTTTGGAACGAGTCACGCGATACAGCCCGCATTTCTAGTTAGCGAGTAATTGAAAACCATCTTTTATGCGCGGCACGTCCAATGTTTCGATAATTACAGCAAGCTTTTTTCCGCGCCGTTCAGCACAAACGAAATTCCGCCGTTGAAAGCTGCGTGTCGCGTCGCGTCGCGTCGCGACGGTGCGCAAAGGGGGTCTTTTAATTGTCACCGGCAACTGACTTCTCTTTATACACAGCTAAAGCCATCGACTGAGGCAATAGGGGGGCAGGACGGAGGCGAGGGGAACTTAACGACCTATTGGAGCTTTGCAAGTATAACGAAAGGAGATTACGAACCACGCCTGCCGCGGGTTAACGAACACCTTGAAGTGAGAGTTGGGAGTCGAGATTTTATTCGCGATGACAAAAAACGCCGAGCGGACGCTATACATGCGTGTCGAGGTGCAGAAGTTTATGCCGGAAAGGCGAAAGAAATTTCCATTTCATTTCACGCGCTGCAAATTATTCTTTCTCGCTCTCGCAGTTGCTTCGCAAGCTGACCGACGCGATGCGAGCGAGCGAGCTCCCGAAACAACGGCCAGGAACACACGCGAAACTCATAAAAGCGCATTTTAATCGCGATACGTATCCTATCTACGGCCGAGTTCTCGTTTAGCGGCGAAGCTGAAACACGTGGACGACGCTCGTTCTGAAATCACGCGGCAGGACGTGCCAGGAGCTCACGGAAGTTTCAGGGAACAATGATATACGGTTATATCTATGCGCGCGCGCGGCTTGTTCCGTCCGCACAGCCCCCGATGGCATTTACACCGCTGGCCTACGAAACCGTATCTATCCGGATGAATCTACCGGGCGATTCGTAAACCACCATCCTCTTATCCACCAAATCTCGCCTTCGTGAAATTACGGAACGAAATGCCTCGTACGGCGTGAGCAACATCACGCGCCCGTCCGGATTTACGAGCTGATAGATTGAACGCAATGTAGCCTCAAGTAGCAATCGAGCCTCAAGTTCTTCGTACGAAGTAGTGCTCAGAATTTTCCAGTGGTCGAATAATTCAAACTATCTAACTTTCCATTCAAATTTTAAATTGGCGGATCTATTGAAACTGCAGTAGGTTCGGGTGCAGAGATATGCAAGAGTCTCATTCAAAGTTGAACGAAAAAATCAAATTAGCAAAGTAAAGTTAAGCACTGTATTGCAAAAAGTCCGAACAAAAGCTATTCCTGTTTTTAATGAATACCATATTCGTTTGAATATTTTTCGATGCCGATGAATTGTTTGAATAATTGAATCTTCAGAAATTAGAAATCGATTGGATAAACTACTGATCACTCGAATTGTTCCGACTATCCGATAACTAAAAAGCTCGAACAATTTTTGTTTCAAAGTTTTCGAGCAACTCGGGGTCTTTTGTCTGAGTTCTAGTAGAAAGCGAGCGCGAGGATAATAATATGATAAGACAGATACGAGTAGCGAGAGTGCGCTGTAAAAGATTATACGCGCAAGTTCGCGTGAAACTTTTACGCCGTCGCGATCTACCAAGCAGAACTTTACACGGTTCTACCGTATAACGGGCTGTGTGGTTCGTTTCAGAAACACACCCCGGGTACAGCTTACGTGAAAGACTATAAGTGTTAGCCGCGTGGTGTATCGACTGCGAGCGCCGCATAATCGTTACATATACACGTAGGCGCTTCCCGGTTGTTGGTGCATCCCACTTACGAAATCGCGGATCGACCGCGTGCGCGGCTATAGTCGCGAGGCTAATTGTAAGTTCTGCAGATAGTAATTGAAATTCTCAAGTCGGCGCGCACAATGTATTTCTTTCTCTCGCGCGTCAGCAGCTATCTCGCGCGAGAAATAGCCACGCGGAATAATTAATAAATCGCTGAGCTATCGCGCAGAAAATTGTTATATAAGTTCACCGCGGTGCAGAGCACGCGGAGTGGAACAACGAAGTATTAAATATCGTAAATATGCGAAATAAATACATTTACGTCCCACAAATAGCGCGGCAAAAATACGAAACGATCGATGCAGCGAGGAGAGCTAGGTGAAATAGTAAACGTATCTGTGCGCGCGCGCGCGCTCGTATGCCGCCCGATCGCGCCCGGTTATGAGCGAACTTTTGCGGCCGACGGACGTCGCGTCGCGTTTTCTATCTTATCGCTTCGCCGCTGCGCTCCGTGTCAATGATCGTTATGGATGCGCGTCTTAAGTAACCGCGATACATCATAACTCAACGTGAATTCCATCCATCAAGCCGGCTGTCCCGGTGAGAATGCAATTTTTGTCCCGATGCGCGTGAATCGGAACGAATTGGCGATCGATGCACGCAAAACGAGATGCGACAAGATCTTGAAGAAAACACTGTTAGCTGACTCTAACCAAGTTAAATGTGCGGTCGCGCATTTCTTCTCGCTTTGGTCCATTTAATTCGCTCGATCAGCTCGATCGGACGCGCGACACTCGTGTAAGTAACGGCGTCGCGCGCGGCTGTCGCATTGTTTTGCGAGTGGCTCGGCTCGTTAAGCGCGGATCTCGTGCGGAATTGCGGTTAATTGAAAGGGTCGACTTGAGAAAACAGCAAGAAATTGAGAGAAAGTGGAAAATAACGATGCAGCGCAGCTTACTGCTGCTTGCAGCACAGCACGCCGTTCTATTGCGAAGCGGCACATCGACAATCAAGTCAAATATTCCTGAAGATTTGCCGCGACTCGTTGAGCGAAATCTCGTTTAAGAACGATGTTGCCCTAGTTAAAGCATCTGCATCGTTGCAATTAAGGGAATATGCTGAGAGAACATGCAACATTCTCTGAGAAAATTTAACGCGTTAGATGAATTTTAACGCCCTCGGCCTTTTGTGCGCCTAAGCATATCGCAATTCAATTTAAAGCGACAGATATTATTTTCTCTGACAGCCCGCGGTCGATTGTCGATTATGTCGCGAGTACAAAGAGAATGTCGCATCGTGACTAGTGTACAATGATTAAGGGTGAATTGACGTAAAAGTACGATAAATAGCGCCCTGGGCGACACATCGAAGGTATACTCGTTGGACGGATAACGATCGCTCTTTATAACAAAGTTGCACAGCTTGTAACAGAAGCGGGAAAATTTTTCCGAACAAGCGTAAGACGCAATTTTATAGTTGCGATAGAAGAGAGAAGGGAGTAATGGCTCGTAACAAAGCTCCTCGATAAAGCTCCATAGCGGATTCCTTTTGTATTCTTCCCGCGCCGGATCGGATCAGATCGGCTGCATTGAATATAGCATTTTCATTAATATCTCATGAATTAAAAATGAAATACTACGTTATTTCCACTGTCGTACTTGTGACGACTAACGAGCTTATTTACATTGCACCGCGAATAAAATAATAAAAGTTGCAAAAACGATTATCGAGAGAGCGATCAGGAATTTATTACTGCACAACGTTATCGAATGTCCATTCCATTAAGGATGATCGGATTATACTGATAATCAGAGATTCTATAATGGCCTCACTGTATCCCGTCGCACGCGAAATATTACCGAAATACGCAAATGTGGAAGCGACACACAAATACCGCGTAAACGCTAGAACCCCTTAAAAATATGGCGCACGCGCAATTTGCCTTTTAAAACGGGTGACGAGAGCAATAGTGAAAGATGTAACGTTCGCAACGAGGTTAAATAATTTGCGCAATCATCATGAATTCCTTTTGTCGCAGTTGGCCATCGCTCGTTCGTGCGCGCTCATGTAAAAAAAAAAAAGAAGAAGAAAATGGGCGACACAG